TCTGATCTCTGGAACAGGAGAAAAAAAGGCAGGGATGAAACACTGTCACGTTTCAGAGGGGACACGTTCATCCAAACACAGATAGAATGTGAAGACACAGAGAAAATGAACCAGAGTTTCTGTCAGAGGCCAGAAACACAAAATGTTTTCAGCAAATCCATCCTCTCTGTGTTTCGTCAGAAGAGCCCCAGTAAAGACTCAACCGGCTTGTGGAGGAGAAGAAAGGAGAACAGATTCAAGGTTCTGGCAGGTTTCAGAAAAACAATGGACTGTGAAATGGAAGGAGAACAACAGAAAATGGATCCTACTGCAGAGAGCAGGAAGATTATCACTCGATCAGCTAAAAGTGATCAGCAGTCTGTGCCCCACCGGTATCCTGCTGGGACCTGGGACCTGCGAAAGAACCACTGGCAACAAAAATATGCCCATTTGTTCCGTAATAACAAGRCAGCTGCTGGTTCTTGGAAAGAAAAACCTTCCAATGCGTCACTGAACCGAAATCTTCGTGTTAAGGACACACTGGATATTTGGGCTCTGCGCAAACAACGCAGAGATAAGGGGGTAGCTCACTTGAGAGGGACTGATCTGGAAGATATGGATTGGCAAAATCAGGAAACAGAGACCAGTTTCAACAACCCTAAACTGGGAAATGACGTCTCTAATCAACCAGTGAGATTTAATCTGGGAACCACTGACATCACCAGCTTTTCCACTTCAGTGGGGRACTCATTTGATCTCTGGAACAGGAGAAAAAAAGGTAGGGATGAAATACTGTCACGTTTCAGAGGGGACACGTTCATCCAAACACAGATAGAATGTGGACACAGAAAAAATGAACCAGAGTTTCTGTCAGAGGCCAGAAACACAAAATACTTTCAGCAAATCCATCCTCTCTGTGTTTCGTCAGAAGAGCCTCAGTAAAGACTCAACCGGCTTGTGGAGGAGAAGAAATGAGAACAGATTCCAGGTTCTGGCACGTTTCAGAAAAACATTGGACTGTGAAATGGAAGTAGATCAACAGAGAATGGATCCTACTRCAGAGAGCAGGAAGATTATCACTCGATCAACTACAAGTGGTCAGCAGTCTGTGCGCCACCGGTATCCCGCTGGGATTTGGGAACTTCGAAAGRACCACTGGCAACAAAAATATGCCTATTTGTTCCGTATTAACAAGACAGCTGCTGGTTTTAACAAACAACAGCAGGAGAACAGAAAAAACTCAAAAAATGTTTTCCACAAAAAACAATCCTGCCATCAGAATAACTTTGGGTCCAACAAAGGTTCTACCWGGGCTGGCGGTCTGAAAAGACATCCAAGATATGAAAGGGTCAGCACAAAAACACAGAAACAAAACAACATGTCCTATAAATGGAGAGAAAACCCACACCAACAGCAAAACCTTTTCTCACATCACCATATGTTTGTTGATAATCAAAAGAACAACCGGCATTCGTTCTACCAAAGAAACAGTCCTGGAAACTCCAGAACGCCTTTCCAGAGAAAAGGTTCTACATCCTACCAGAACCATCAAAAAGGTAGTGATGTGCAGAATAGACACAAACGTCAACTGGGCTCACTGCGTGTGAAATGGAACAAATTCACGAGAACCAGAAACAATTTGCATTTCCGGAAAAAATTTTAGTGTGAATGCCTCTTTTTTAACTTCAATACCTCTTTTTAACTTCTTTTTTACTTCTTTTTTTACTCTTTTTTTT